TGTGTGTGTGTGTTTGTTCGGTTGTTGAAGAATGGCAATGATTAAAAACAACAAAGGGTTCATTTTGTACCAAAGTTGACTTCAGACGAAAAGATACCCTCCTGTTTTTCTGCAGAAAAGGAGGTTATACGGGCGATTACGGGCGTGTGTTTTCCAGTGCTCTTGAAACCCCACGGTTGCTTCAGATTGTTTTAGTACTTTGGATATTGTCGAAGGTGTTCAGACGTTGAGGAGGAGACCATTGTTGTTGGAGATAGTTTCCATCCGGCAATGGTTTGATTAGTTGTTGGTTGTTGTTTGATCGCTGTTTGTTGTGACTAGTACTCTTGGTAGTTCATGACAGAGGAGAGGAGAGGGGAGAGAAGGAGAGGAGGGGAGAGAGGAGAGGAGAGAGGAGAGAGGAGAGAGGAGAGGCCTTCGCCCCCAAGAAGAAGGAAGGTGATTTGGAGGCTCCCTTGCCTCAAAATGTTGACATGACACAGCCCCTCCAACTTGAACTTCACATTGTCAAGCATGCGCATTTTGCGCGCAGGGTGACAAAGTCAGGAAAAGAGTACGTACATACAAAGAAGGATGGGGCGCTGCCACCAAATCCCATCTCTCTCGTTGGTATTCAAGCCAGGAGGCAGCTGCAAGGGCCATCCATACCTGGGCAGGGGAAGACTGGTGGCTAGATCAGCCCTTAATTGGGAAGACCTCTCTCGGTCATGGTCCCTCACGAGGATGATCCTTGAGACCTTCCTAGGCAAAGCCTTAATCAGACTGGCGTGAGTCCCGTGCTGCAAAGAACATGAAGGAGATGGTGAAAGCTGGACGGCAAGCATGGCTTAGCCTCGCAGCTGAAGCAGAATCCTCATCGACAAGAGCCTGCTGGAACCCAACGATTGCTTTGGAGTACTTGGTGGAACAGCCATCCCAGAGTAACGCAGCTTTGTCAGGAGTGGCAGTCAAACTAGACGACGAGTGGCCCGAAAGCATTTTTCATCACGTAGGAAGTCAGAGTGTGAGTTATCTGTTAAGTGATCAGTGTGAAGTGTTAAGTCGATCGAGTTGAGGCAGTGTGTGGGTCTCTGTGTGTGTGTATCTGTGTCTGTGTGTGTATGAGTCTCTGTCTGTGTGTCTCCGAGTAAGTTGAGGCAGTGCGTGGGTCTCTGTGTGTGTGTCAACCTCTCAAGAGAGCCGGGTGGTCGGGAGACATGACTCAGCTGCAGGGGCGCCAGAGCAGCTGCGAGAGATGACTCATCCGCGTACTAAAGTTGTACTGCAAAGTCGCCAGTTCTCAGCTTCCAGCTCCGCAGATTGCTCCGCGTACTAAAGTTGCACTACAAAGTCGCCAGTTCTCATCTTCCAGCTCCCCAGATACTCCGTTGCACTACAAAGTCGCCAGTTCTCATCTTCCAGCTCCCCAGATACTCCGCGTACTAAAGTTGTACTACAAAGTCGCCAGTTCTCATCTTCCAGCTCTCCAGATACTCCGCGTACTAAAGTTGTACTACAAAGTCGCCAGTTCTCAGCTTCCAGCTCCACAGATTGCTCCACGTACTACAGTTGTACTACAAAGTCGCCAGTTCTCATCTTCCAGCTCCCCATATACTCCGCGTACTAAAGTTGTACTACAACTTCGCCAGTTCTCATCTTCCAGCTCCCCACTAGAAAGTTGCCAGTTCTCATCTTCCAGCTCCCCAGAGACTCCGCGTGCTCAAGTTGTACTACAAAGTCGCCAGTTCCCAGCTTCCAGCTCCACAGATTGCTCCGCGTACTAAAGTTGTACTACAAAGTCGCCAGTTCTCATCTTCCCATTCCCCAGCTACTCTGCGTACTAAAGTTGTACTACAAAGTCGCCAGTTCTCATCTTCCCAGTCCCCAGCTACTCTGCGTACTAACGTTGTACTACCCGGTCGCCAGTTCTCATCTTCCAGCTCCCCACCTACTCCGCACACTAAGGTTGTACTACAAAGTCGCCAGTTCTCCGCTACTACCCACTCACCAGTTCTCCTCTTCCCACTCCCCAGCTACTCTGCGTACTAAAGTTGTACTACCAAG